ATAGTGGGCACGGTTTGCAGTTTTTTATGTCACAATAAAAAGTTAAGGGTAAATATGTCATAGTGGGTATAATTTGGGGTTTTTGGTGGCTTTTTTCAAATAAAACATATCAAGGAGAGAGGAAGGTGAGGGAAGCAATGATGGTCAATAAGGGTGCGATTGGTAATCATTCTGTTCCTGAAAATAATTTCTGTTCAGAAATGATTCCTTTTTATTTCGTGTCCGGAAATAATTTCTAAGCATTTAAAGACATTTGGTAACTATCCAAAATTTCAATTCTTGGAATAGAAAAAGAACAGAAATGCGTTTGGTAGCTGTACAAAATTTTTTTTAATAATATTTTGAATTTTTTAATATTTCTTTCTTTTTATTTTTCTTTTATTTTTCTTCTTCTTCCCCTTCCTTGGCCATGGCCAGGTTGCCGGCGCCGGCGAGGGTCGTCCACGCCAGATCCGATGAGGGTAGCCCTCGCCCTCGCCGACCCTGGCTTGGGGCCGATCATTGGTGGCCGGCGACCAGCCACAGGCCAAGAAGAAGAAGAAGAAGAAGAAGAAGAAGAAGAATTTTTTTTTTCCATTTTTGATTCTTGTTTTGTTTCTTGATTCTGTTCCAAAACTGATTCTGGAAATAAAAAATTTACCAAATGAATTTCTGTTTCAAAATTGATTCTGGGAACAAAAGAATAGAATCAGTTATTATTTGGCCAATTACCAAACGCAACCTAAGTGGGTAGGGCCCTCACTGCCCAGCTTTGCCCAGTACCTTTTTTTTGGTTCGTGATGTTCAATTTTCTTTATTTTTTATTCCATGTCACTATGGGTGTCAATTCATCATGACATAGTGTTCAGGTAAATTGCTACATAAGCACTTTTTGCGTCCACATGTTTGAAAGAAGAGCAACACGAACCAAAAAAATACAAAGAAAAAACATATTATTCATGAGTTCAATAAAGCAAAAGGAATCATTATCCCTACATCGAGTTAGGAAATTTATTTTTTCATTTTAATTAGATCTCAAACCAATCTCACTTTTTGTAGGACATAACTAGAAATAAAGTCTTCGTGCATTTTGCAGACCAAACATACTATATTGTTTATTGATATTTATTTTTTATTAACGAAAATTACACTAAAAGTCTAATCTCTTTTTCAAACTACAATCGAGTCCTAAATATTTTTGAAAATGCAATCAAATCCTCATTTTTCAGTATATGAAATTGAGTTCTAAATTTGCTGCCATCGATGTCCAGTCGAAGAATTCTAAAACATTATGATTTGGACCATCGCCGACAATGCCGCCGGTCCAAATCTGGAGCCTCCAGATTTGGCCTAAGAACTTCCAAATTTGTGACCATGGCTTCAGACTTCCAAATATGGTGATGGCAGCTCTTCTATAGCCACGAGCAATGGTGCTCTTCTTCCGGATATGCAACAATGGCTACGAATCTCCAGATTTGGCGACGGTGGCTCGTCCATGGCCGTGAGTGATGATGGTTGGCTTGGACGCGGCCCCGGCAACTTTGCAGTAGCGACGACGAGGGGAGGCGCGGAAGTTGGGCTTGGTAACTCTAATGAAGTGAAAAGGCTTTTATGGCTTAATAGAGAATATATATTTAATTTTGTTTATTTGATTCCACATTAATACCTAGGTGTCATTTTAAGAGTGGATGTGAATAAAAAATGCGTGTCATATAAGCTATTGATGCGGCGCTATGGAATTACCAAATATTTTCTCCTAAGAAACATGCATGAGTTAAGTTTCAATTTTGAAGAAGAAAATTAAAAAAGAAGACAAAAATATAAAGAAGAAGAATACATACCAAGAAGAGAGGAAGGCGAAGGAAGCAATCATGACACGGTTTTAAGGTACATTGCTGCATGAGCACTATTTGTGTCCGAGAGTTTGAAAGAAAAGCAACATGAAAAAAAAAAACAAAGAAAAAAAATATGATTTATGAATCCAATAAAGCAAAAGGAATCATTATACCTACACTGAGGTTCGGCAATTTATTTTTCATTTTAATTAGAACTCAAACCGATCTCACTTTTTGTATGACACAAATAATAAGAAGAGTCTTCGTGCATTTTGTGGATTAAACATATGATATTGTTTAATGAGATTTATTTTTAATTAAAAAAATTATGCTAAAAGTCTAGACTTTTTTACGAAGTACAATCAAGTCCTAAACATTTTTGAAAATGCAATCAAGTCCTCACTTTGCAGTATATGAAATCAAGTTCTAAATTTATTGCCATCGGCGTTTGACTACAAGAATTCCGAAACATAATGATACGGACCATCGCCGACGGCTCTGCCGATCCACATCCAAAGGTACTAGATTTGACCTGCGAACTTCTAGATCTGCAACCATAACTCCAAACTTTTCGGATCTAGTGACGGCAGCTTGTCTATAGCCGTGAACAATGGTCTCTGACTTTCGGATATGCAACCATTGCTCCAGATCTCCAGATTTGGCGACGGTGGCTCATCCTTGGCCGTGAGCGATGATGGTTGGCTTGGACACGGCTCTAGTGACTTCGTGGTGGCAACGACTAGGGGAGGTGGGGAGGTCGAGCTCGACAACTCCAGTGAAGCGAAGAGACTTCTACAATGGACATAGAGCATAGATTTAATTTTATCTATTTAATTTCACATTAACGGACACGTGTAAATTTAAGAATGGATGTGAGTAAAAAGTGCGCCTCGTATCAGCTATTGATGTGGTGCTATGGAATTTCTGAAATATTTTCTCCGAAAAAAACACAAAGGAGCTTCGTTTCAATTTTGAAGAAGATATTAAAAAAAAAGTAGACAAAAAAAATAGAGAAGAAGAAGAAGAAAACATATCAAGGAGAGAGGAAGGTTCAAAAGTGGCCCGGGGCCACCACCACACAGCTTTGCCCAATTTTCTATATTTTTTATTCCAGGTTACTCTTGAGGTCGAATCATCATCAGGACATGGTGTTAAGGTGGATTGCTACATCGCTACTTTTTGCATCCTCGTGTTTCGTGGCAGAGCAACACGAAATAAAAAATAATAATAAGAGAAAAAAAAACAGATGATCTATGGATCCCATAAAGCAAAAGGAATTATTATCCCTTAGGAAATTTATTTTTTCATTTTAATTAGATCTCAAATTGATTTCACTTTTCTTAGTCATAACTAGTAAAAAGTTTTCACGCATTTCGTAGACCAAACATATCATTTATTGAGATTTATTTTTAATTAAAGAAAATTACATTAAAAGTCTAAACTCTTTTACAATATACATGAAAATGCAATCAAAGTCCTCATTTTTGCAATATATAAAATCGAGTTCTAAATTTGCTTCCGTCGACATTGAATCGGAAGAATTCCATAACATTATGATTTCGACCATCATTGTCTCTGCCGGTCCACATCTAGAGGCACCAGATCTTGCCTGCGAACTTCCAGATCTACAATCATAGCTCCAGACTTTTTAGATCTGGTGACTGCATCTTATCCATAGACGCAAGCGACGGTGTTCGACTTCCTGATATGCAACCATGGCACTAGATCTCCAGATTTGGCGACGACGACTCGTCCATGGCCATGAGCGATGATGGTTTGCTTCAACGCAGCATCGGCGACTCCTCGGTGGTGACAACGAGGGGAGGCGAGGTCGAGCTCGGCAACTCTAATGAAGCAAAGAGGCTTCTATGGCTGAACATGGAGCACATATTTAATTTTGCTTATTTGATTTCACATCATTGGACATTTGTCAATTGAAGAGTGGATGTGAGTAAAAAATGCATGCTATGTTAGCTATTAATGTGATGTTGTGGAATCACTGAATATTTTCATCTAAACAACACACGGGAGCTAAGTTTCAATTTGGAACGTGATAATTAAAAAAAAAGTAGACAAAAAGAAGAAGATGAAGAAGAAAACATATCAAGGAGAGAGGAAGGTGAGGGAAGCAATGATGTCAGCCGGGGGCCAGCGCCACCCAGCTTTGCCCAATTTTCTTTATTTTTTATTCGATGTCACTATTGATATTGAATCATCATGACATGGTGTTGAGGTGAATCGCTACATCAGTACCTTTTGCGTCGACATTTTTGAAAGAAGAGCAACACGAAACAAAAAAAAGAGAGGAAAAAAGCATATGACATAGGAATCCGACAAAGCAAAAGGAACCATTATCCCTGTACAAGAGGTTACGAAATTTATTTTTTCATTTCAATTAGATCTCAATACGATTTCACTTTTTGTAGGATATAACTGGTCGAATGTTTTCTTGCATTTTGTAGACTAAATATATGATACTATTTATTATTATTTATTTTTAATTAAAAAATTATACTAAAAGTCTAAATTCTTTTACAAAGTACGATCAAGTCCTCAACATTTTTGAAAATGCAATCCAGTCCTCATTTTGCAGTATATGAAATCGAGTCCTAAATTTACTGCCATCGGAATCCAATCGCAAGAATTCAAAAACATTATGATTTGTCGCAAAATTAAGCTCTATTTCAACCGTAGTTATACAATAAAACATGTGAGCTTTGTTGAACACAGAGTATATGGCCTGGTTATGAGTATCAGTTGGAATAAAACTCAAACTTTATAGTAAAAGTGCAATTTAGATTAAAAATTTAAAACTGCATCTTCTGTCTCAAATTGAGACAAGAAAAGTAAATGAAAAGCTCAATCAATCATTTGTAAATGTGGAAAAATGTTATTCTCTTGTCTAGATATATTTAAACGAATAAATGTTTAACCGAATAACATTTTAATATGTTGATGTAATGTGTCTAACCGTATTATAAAAGAGTCAAAAGAATGAACACCGGTTGTTTGATTGTTAAAATGAAATTTTATTATGTTCATTGTCATCATCGGATTAACCCGTTGTCGTTGACGATGAATTATGTACCTTATAAACTTCCTCAAGAAGCACCGATAGCGCTGTGCTACAGCAAAAAACTTCGCCAGGAAGAAAACCTGTCTCGATAATTTTCTTTTCGTCCCGTCCTTACCCAAAAGAAAAAGTGTCAACCTTTCCAAAAGTCCCCGCCATTTCCGGAACTCTTCCATAAGAAAGGCAAAGCTCTCTGTCTGTGACCAAGACTTGTGAAGAAGAAGCCTCACACTTGCAGGGTCGAAGCGACGATCCAGAGGTGCGCATTTCGTTATCACTCTGTGTTTTGTGAGCTCAGTTTACGATTTTTCTCTGTGGGCATTAAGAGTGGTTCGCTTGAAATCACCACATCCAATTCGTGTGATCTGATTGACGCTCTTGTAAGATAGTGTTAGCAGAAACAACTTGAAGGCAAAGCTCTCTGTCTGTGACCAAGACTTGTGAAGAAGAAGCCTCACACTTGCAGGGTCGAAGCGACGATCCAGAGGTGCGCATTTCGTTATCACTCTGTGTTTTGTGAGCTCAGTTTACGATTTTTCTCTGTGGGCATTAAGAGTGGTTCGCTTGAAATCACCACATCCAATTCGTGTGATCTGATTGACGGTCTTGTAAGATAGTTTTAGCAGAAACAACTTGAAGTGGACATGCTCTCGTTTTTATGTTACTCGCATCAATTCAGACGAGGCTTCCACAAGTCAACATGTCTCGCTGACGATTTTTCCCAACCGGAGTTGTTTTTAGTATTCATGTAGATGTTTCTTCATATAACTTCTGCAGATTTGCATATTTCTCCATTTTTCTCTTCCTTTCCACTGCGACCACCTCCCGATCGCTCTCTCTAATTCCAGCTTGATTTGAAATATTTCGGTGAATTTGTGATGATCAGGCGTGATCGACTGGGATCAAAGCTCAGAGTGGTGACTGTCGAATAAACCCTAGTTAATTGAACTCAACTATATTCTGATGTTAGAGACAATAGAAAGAAAAATGGAATCAATATCTCAGTACAAGATATGATTTAGAAAACCACATCAAGAAAGTTTAAAAAGTAGAGTTGGCAACACGATATCCTTTAAACTTCTTTTTCCGATTGAACTCCGTCCGCCATGAAGCGGGACTTACTGTGAATTCCATTTAGTGGACGTAATCTAAGACCCAATTTCAGCAAAAATGGAACAACCAAAGAAGTGACAAGGATGTCATTCTGGCGAGGTGCAACAGAGTAAGCAAGAAGAACTGAGCGGTCTAATCTTCGACTCTCATTTTCTTTTTGCATAATGTGAAGAGTAGCTATAAATATCTTTCTTTGTGAGACCGGCCTGCCCTTCCTCGTCCCAAATCCGATTCCTTCAGAATGACTTTCTACATCCTTTTCAACTCTTTCAACTAGTTACTCTTTACACAGACAATATTAGATAATGTAGTTTCCCGCCCGGTTCAATTGGTTGTTGGCCTACCAAGAACTGAATGAAGAAGAGAAGAGACTAGAAAGAGACGGAAGTAAACCCTAGATAAAATTCTCATTACTAAAGGGGAGGTAACAAATTGGTAATTTATTGTATATAATTCATTAAATAGTGAAAAGAAAAGAAAATTCTATTACTGGATATGAATATATTTTGCGAAATCAGAGTACATGCACCTCGCCAATCCGGGCGGATCTAGATAAGTAATATAAATGAGACGGACTACACCAATATAATCAATATACAAATTCTTTTGCAAGAATACAATAATCTCTCTTGTTCGTCTTCCTCCTCCTACCGTAGAGCTATTTCTTTTAACTCGGAGAAAATTACAGACTTGGAATGAGTCCTCATTAGTTACTGGAAGACAAATAGCCACAAGATCTGAACGTGCACGAACATATATTTGATTCATTCACGTATTTGACTGGTTTTCATTTTGACCAACCACGTCTAATCTCTCCAAGATGATGACAACTGATATGCAGCAACTTGACTCTTCATTTGTTTCTGCCCTTCTCACTTCCCTCCGTTTCTTAACAATTTGGTCCTTAATATGTATAAATACTGCCACTGCACATACGATGATCGACCAAATCTCCGTTGTATCTACTCACAAGGAGCATTGACATAAGTCTCATCTTCCTCTCTGCATACAGTGACCCAAAGAATGGCGACAGACAAAGTGAGCTTGAAGCTTCTGGTCAACAAGAGCAACCAAACGGTGCTCTTTGCTGAAGCAGGCAAAGATTTTGTCGACTTCCTCTTCCACATCCTTGCATTGCCGGTGGGAACGGTGATCCAGCTCCTCACGACAACCGGGATGGTGGGCAGTTTAGGCAATCTCTACGGCAGCGTCGAGAAGCTGAATGATGTGTACATCAAATCTTCCAAGAAAGACATTCTCTTGAAACCCAAAGCACCCTCCTGTGTCTCTGAAATCCCACTTATATTGCCTGAGACTTCTTCAGATTCAACGCCCAAAACCTACTACAGGTGCACTGGCCGTTCGTATAGTAACTGTTCAAGCTATGTGGCGGAGGACCCTTCTGCAAAATGTCCCCAGTGCAATAGTTCCATGAACCAAACATGCACTCTTGTCAAATCACTGGCTGATAACCCGACGGCTGCTGCGGCATCAGCAGCTGAATCAAACAGTAAGGGCGGTTTCGTGCAAGGGGTGGTTACGTACATGGTGATGGACGATCTGGAGGTGAAGCCAATGTCGACTATTTCGAGCATTACTTTGCTTAACGAGTTCAACGTGAAGGAGATTGGGCTACTGGAGGAGAAGGTGGTCAGCTTGGGAATGGACGAGGTAAGCCCATGCCTTTCCCTGCGACTTGGTTATGTTTAGATTTTAGAATTGACTCAACGATTTATGTGAAAAATCTATTTTAAGAGACGTATAAATTACAAATGAATATTGATCGACGTGAGTTGTGTGAAAAAAGAAATTACTAGCTCTGTCCTATAAAAATATTCACAACAAATTATTGGTATCTGTCGATTATTCAAAATTTTAGCTTTTGTACAATCATCAGAGATGCTTGTAGGGTAAAACAAGATCGTGTTCGCCTCTAATACAGGGCTTATAAAGTAACTGTCCTTTTTAATTATTTGATTTGTAACTGTGAAGGGTATAAAGCTGTTGAGGACTTCATTTCACTCCAAGAAGGTTCTCACTGATGTCTTCCTCGGTGAGAAGTGAGAGAGATCGTGATCAAGTGGCTAATATATATATATATAGTGTGTGTGTGTGTGATATATGGAGTGTGGAGAGATATGTTTCTGATTCGTCAAAGTTTATGCAAGACGTGCAGCGCGGATTGACCCTTCTAAGGTTTTTTTTTGTGTGTGTGTGGAAATATTAGCATGTTTATGGTCTCCTTTTACGATATGACTGTATTAGTCTGGTTGTAAAAACCATGTGAGCATGCTAAAGAAAGAAAATACGTCTCATAGCCTATAATGAATGCTAAAAGCATATGTCGGACTTGTGGAACCAATATAGACACGCCATTCGTAAAATTAATCATGCTAGAGAACGTTGGGTGACTAATTTTAAAGTAATTCGACAATGTCCCAGATAAGTTGGCACCTATGTCCCGTGGTTGGGTCCAATTGAGTGCCCAACTCTCAATCCATGATGAGTTGTCCTCGATACTCTATTGCATAAGCTTAGATATAAAGGGGAAAAAGACAATAGAAGTATAGTGGCCATTGACACTTGATTTTTAACCGACAAGTACTGACAAAGGTAAAAACTCAAGATTATGGATCCTTAATTGCGATAGAGCCCGTTTCTCAGCCAAAAAGAGTCTTTTTTTTTTTACGTTTTTCAAATTTCATAGCATTCTGTCTAAACTTAGGCATTGATTTCACTAATAATCCAAGGATGTCTTTAGAGTTGACTTTTTGGTCAACTACTAAAGTCAACCTCGGTCAACATTTTTTTGAAAAATTGAAAAATCATCAGATCAATTCTTTGTAAACTTAATTAGACTTCCAATTGGTCAATTTTACAAAAAATGATCGAGAATTGACTTTTTAGCCAAACCGAAAATTGACTCTTGATCGGCAAATTTCAATATTCATTAATTTCTAGTCATTTTCTAGAGTAATTTCCTTCTCGACATTTGATCTAGTGGTCGTATCATATTCAATTTTCAAGCCAATTTCGAAAGATCGAGCTTGAGGTGGGTTGGCCAATTTTTGAGCGCCAATTTAGGGTCTCTATCGATCCTTCATGAGTAATGCCAGTTAGCCCAATTCGAATCTGATTTAGCCAAATTAACTCAATTTCATTATCAATTTTGGCAAAATCATATCAATTTGGCGTAATTTGACCAGAACGACAAATTGAGACTGATAGGGAGGCCGAGTCAACCCAATTGACCCAACTTAATTCGACCCATTTGAGCCGAAGCCCAATTTGGCTGATTGAGCCTAATCAAGTGTGATGGCCAAACCCATGTGCCTAATATGAGAATCAAGGCAATTAGAAGGCCTCAGGCCAACCTGGTCAACTCGAGTCTACTTGATTGGACCTAAATCGACCCGGCTCATTAGGCCAATCACAAATTGGGCTCACCCGACCCACTTAGCCAAGACACTAAGCCCAATTAGAAAAATTAGAGCCGAATTGAACATTCGAAGGACCCCGGTCAACCCAGGCCGACCCGAGTGGGCCCAAGTGGACTTGGCCCAATGGGTGGAACAAGTCAACCCATCAAGATAGTCGGCCAGCCCTCTCCCTCACATCGCATAAATTACAAAAGTGCCACTCATCAAATTTTCTAAATTGCCATCAATCCTTGCGAAGGCTAATCTTGACCATACATTGCATATTTGATCTTAGGCATCAAAATTGCCATGTCACCAATCCATGTGACAAAATTTCAGCCAACCATAAGCTTCCTTGGTCATTAAGCAAGCAACAAGAGCCATAGGACTAATCCAACGGCCAGGATTTGAAGGGGATTCAAATTTTTCCTCTAAATTCTAAGATTAAAACTCTCTCTCTCTCTCTCTCTCTCTCTCTCTCTCTCTCTCTCTCTCTCTCTCTCTCTCTCTCTCTCTCTCTCTCTCTCTCTCTCTCTCTCTTGCGCGCGTGGGGACATGCTCCACGCTGTCCCTCCTGGTCCGCCGATTCCTCGCCGATCTCGGCTCCCCTCTGGCGACACCTCGGCCTCGACCTAGCACGATCGGCCTCCTTGGAGTCTCCTTGATGTGGTGGTGACCGGCTCTCCCCCTTTTGGCCGCCGGAACTTGCACAAGGTAGGTCCAGATTACAAATTTCGATGATCAATTCTATATGATCATCTGATGAAGCTCAATCTAATCGTAGTCCAAAATCGAAGTTATAACTTCGATCTATGATTAATTGGAGCTAGGATATGATGGAATTTTCCCAAATCGGATTTAAAATTGGACTTGGAACTAGCTTAATCTCATGGAATCGATGTCTAATTGCATGTTAGATAAGCCTTGGGATGTTTGTCTTCGTGTGGCTGAGTCTCCTTTAATGTCAATTGAGATTGATTTCCGAAGTTCATATGTTAATTAGGCTAGAATTCAAATGTTTAGGTACGATATCTTGGAAATCTAGCTCAATCTCGTGTTTAATCAAGTTTTATTGATCAATTTCGTGGAAATTCCTCATGTAGCCGAGCCTCCAGGATGTTGATTAGTGTTCATTTTGATGATGGATTAGCTTAGGATGATCACATGTTAGAGGTCTGTTGATTAGAGTAGTTTTGATGAGGATTTGTGTATGTTGTTGTGTATAGATGGTTGATTTAGGATGTGTTTGATGAATGGAGCTTTGAAATTGTTCATGTATGTGCTTGTGTGTTCATCTGAGTAGGTTGAAGATAGCCTATAGTTCTGGAAATTAGCTTGAGTATACTTGAATATGCTCGAATGTTCATGGACATGAGTGTGAAGATGCAAATCACTTTCTGGAAAAACTAGAGTCTGGCTGACCTTAGTCTGTTCTTTGATTTTTTGTGTTTCCAATCTGGAAAAATGTTCTTCATGAAAGTTAAAGTCAGGATCATAAGCTTTCCATTGATACCAACGTCATTGAAAACGAAGCTCATTTGGTCCATCAGGGAAAAGTGCCAAAAAAGTCCTAAACCTTTTGCATTTGTGCCAATTTAGTCATAAACCTTTTTTTAGTGCCAATTCAGTCCTAAACCTTTTGCATTGGTGCCAATTTAGTCCTAAACCTTTTTTTGATGCCAATTAAGTCCTAAACATTTTAAAGTGGTGCCAATTCAATCCTAAACCTTTTGTTTTTGTATCAATTTAGTCCTTCCGGTCAATTTTGACCGGAATTTGTTGACGTGGACGCCTGCCGGCCGGCGGGCGGTCACCGGCGCCGACGTGGCGCTGACGTGGACAACTTTAATAATATTTTAATATTTTTTGAAATTTCATTTTTTTCCTTTTTTTTTCCACTTTTTTTTTACCCCCTCCCTCCTTCCTCCCGGCAACCGGCCACTGGCGAGGACGGGCCTCGCCCGACCATGGCGAGGTTCGAGCCCTCGCCGGAGGCCGCGGCGAGGTCACTGGGCGAGGCTCGACCTCGCCGGATCAGGCGAGGTCGGGCCTCGCCCGACCATGGCGAGGTTCGCCCTCCCCGCAGGTCGCGGCGAGGTCGCTGGGCGAGGCTCGACCTCGTCGGATCCGGCGAGGTCGGGCCTCGCCCGACCATGGCGAGGTTCGAGCCCTTGCCGGAGGCCACGGCGAGGGCGAGCCTCGCCATGGTCGGGCGAGGCCCGACCTTGCCGGATCTGGCGAGGTCGAGCCTCGCCCGACCAAGGCGAGGCTTGCCCTCGCCGCAGGCCGTGGCGAGGTCGCTGGGCAAGGCTCGACCTCGCCGGATCTGGCGAGGTCGAGCCTCGCCCGACCATGGTGAGGCTCGCCCTCGCCGGGCGAGGCCGCCACCTTCGCCAGTGGCCGGCGAGGTCGAGCTCGCCGGCCTCTGGCCTCTGGCCGGTCGCTGGACCAGCGATCGGCCGGAGGAAGGAGGGGGGGGGGGGGGCAAAAAAAAAGTGGAAAAAAAAAAGAAAAAAAAGGAAAAAAAATAAAAATTCAAAAAAATATTAAAATATTATTAAAGTTATCCACGTCAGCGCCACGTCGGCGCGTCGGCGCCCGTGATCGGCCGGCAGGCGTCTACGTCAGCAAATTCCAGTCAAAATTGACCGGAAGGACTAAATTGGTACAAAAACAAAAGGTTTAGGACTGAATTGGCACCAATTTAAAAGGTTTAGGACTAAATTGGCACCAATACAAAAGTTTTAGGACTGAATTGGCACCAAAAAAAGGTTTAGGACTAAATTGGCACTAATGCAAAAGGTTTAGGACTTTTTTGGCACTTTTCCCTGGTCCATCATACGTTCGATCAAAGTACTAATCAGATTCGGTGCTTTGATCCAGAAAATCTATTCCTACATCCTCTGGACGTGTTTTGTAATTTACTCACTGCTGGAGTCCATTTTTGCAAAAAAAAATTAAAATTAAAGTTGTTCAGCAGGTCCTTAAATGTAAATCTGGAAAGTTTCATAATTTTTTAAATGTTTTTGAGCTTGTTTACTATTTTTCCCGCATTTTTCAAGAACTGGATCCGAACCGAGTCAATTTCAGAGAAGTCAGTCTAATTTTAAAAATTTGGGTCTTTCGGATCACAATCGGTGAAAATGGTCTTAATGAACATTAAGCTACACTTTCTAAGCTTTCATTTTCTGCTCGTTTCATTCGATGGGTAGGTCATTAAACCATTCAGTTGAATTAAAACATAATCGTGCAGAGTTGAGACAAAAACTGAAAAGTGCCCCTCTTGGGTCACTAATTGTTTGCTTGATGCCAAGGCTAATTAAACTAATTGCATGCCTTAGCTAGCCTTGCGTGTGGATGATTAGATGTATGATTAGGCTTTCCATGCATGTCCTTCGGCGGGTAGTTTAGCTGGGTGATTATAATTTAATTAGGAGTAAATGATGTTAGTCTACCACTTTGTGAACACAAGTGGAGGTTAATATTCAATGAACCCCTAGTTTGATTAGGAGGTGGTTGGGTTAATGGAATTGCATGGGCGAAATCAAAATTCCCGAGAATTGCTTGATTATTTGCCCATTAGTGAACTTCCTAAGTGATTGCTTTGAATGAGTGCTTGATGTGAATGTTGAATGGAAACCGGCACCGACGGCGGCGGCTGTGAGCTTGAAGACCGGCGGCCGATGAGAAGCCAAGGAGTTGGTCCAAAATAAGTATAGCTTAGGCTAGTATAGTT